ATGTGTATTCAATAAAGTTAAAATAGTTTGTTATAGGGAGAAAATATCTACTTAATTAAAAGAGGATTATAAATAAGAATTTCCCAACAGTGAAACACTTTGCCTTATGTGTTTGAACAAATGATAAATAGCTTATATAGGTAGCTGGGCTCTCATAGATATAAAATTACTGCTAAAATCCCTGCTACACTGTAGTCTGCAAACCTTTGTGCTATGTGGTCATTATGCACCCCCAGCTGTGTCTACAACAACAGTGCAGCATTGACATGCACGGAACAACAATGCATTCAATCCTCTTTGGATCGGCATAAGAAGGATATTTCTCCCCTCATTAAAATGGTTTTCTCTCATGCAATTTCTTTATGGTCTCAAGTTCATTATTCCCTATTTGTTACCCATTTCCCATTGTTAATCAAACATTAAAACCAGCAAAAATATTTTTTTAAAAAGCTTCTGTAAATATAAGTGGGAAAATACATGTTTGCAACTCATAGATGTGCTGGAAAGTTATGAAGGCCACTGGGAGTGATTATATTTACATAATACCAAATTTTACACTGAAAATAGAAATTACTTTTAATTAATGTACTGCAATGAGCAGGTGGAAAAAAATGCTTTAAATGAACTTACTTTTGTCTCTGGTGCAGAGTTGCATATACCATTTTTTAAAGCTACAGAGATTTAAGTTTGGGGACATCTAGAATTTCCATTCTTGTGATAAATGTATAAACCCCCATAATACATGTTATAGATTTGGTGATTTCCAAACAGCTTCTACTTCTCTGCTACTTCTTTTTGTATTTGTTTCAGAAAACATCAATAGTAATTTAATATCTTAGAAAGGCATGCTCATTTTTCATATTCTGTGTTTTACAGAATATTTATCTTGAAATAACATATTGGGACTATTCTTAAGACCGAGAATAAAAAAAATGTTTTGCCATTCGAGGCCGAAAATCCAACTAAAATAATCTGTAAAGGTGTAACAGGAGAAATATGAATATGGAATGAGTACTATGTATCTGTTCTAAAATAAATTATGTAGATTATTGATCTTATAAGATCTTCCTTTTATTCATGGTATACTCCCTGTAAATGTGTTCAGAATTTTTCACAACAGAACTATCTACCCCATCTCTACTGCATTGCCAAAAAAATTCTTCTGTTGGATCTCAGAAGTTTTTAGTATCTTTAGTACTTTTTTTAAAAAGGATAAACTAATTCAAACCTCTTTCTACTGGAGTATTTTATTGTATGAGGAGGTCATTTTTGTGGAAATAGTCACTAAAATGAAAATGTGAGAATATCACTCATCATTATGGGACTTATTTAAAATAATAGTTATCAGCTTGAGAAGAGAGGACGGCTCACAAACCTCCACAAAGACACAACTGTTCACATTCATTCTGTGTAAAAATAAATATCACAATTATAACTGATAAGAATATTTAAAGAATATTTACTTTTTTTGAGACAGTCTCCCTTTGTCACCCAGGCTGGAGTGCAGTGACACAATCACAGCTCACTGCAGCCTCAGCTTATTGGGGCTCAAGTGATCCTCCCACCTTAGCCTCACTAGTAGCTGGGACTACAGGTGTGCACCACTAGGCCCAGCTAATTTTCCTATTTTTTGTAGAGATGGGGACTCACCACGTTGCCCAGGCTGGTCTCAAACTTCTGGGTTCAAGCAATCTGCCTGCCTCAGCCTCCCAAAGTGTTGAGATTACTGGAGTGAGCCATCGTGCCCAGCAAATATACACTTCTTCAGTATAAAAAGTAACTTCTTTCTTCTAGTTTCTTGTTAAAAGTGCCAATAATTTCTTCTTTAGGATTATGAAGAAAAACAAAAAAATTCAGTTTTGCCTTGATAGGTAATCATTTCTAAAATCCCAGAATTGATTGGTTCTCTGAAAAACAAAAATCTACGTTGACTATAACTTGTAATGCCCTCAGCTGGTGTCTCTGCCATATATACCCCTATGTTATAAGAATAGGGGAACATTCTTCAAAAATATTATCTAAAGAGTCCCCATAAAGATTATCAAGGAAGAATACAATGAGGAAATTTAATTATTCTGTGACATCAAACATATGCTTGCCTAAGAAACCTAAAAAAAAAGTTAAATTATTTTTGAAATTTTCAGTCAGATATTTCTGTTGCACAGATGATATATTTATTTTTGTGCAAGTGAATAAAATGTTACTTGACATATTTTGGCAAAATAACTTGTAAATTTATTGCACTTACTTGCCAATGAATGTATGTTATGTCTGCAAATCATAAATATTTGTAATGTGTTACACTGGTAGGACTTTGAGTCTCACATAAAAAGTTACCTCTGGCCCTAATTCTTTTTAGACTGACCAAATGAATTGCATTAAGGGAGTGATTACCTATTTATTTGGATACATTGGGGCATATTGAAACAGATACTCTTCAAAACTAAGAAGAAATACTATCAAGATTTTATCTTTATAAAATTGACTTAGAGGTATAATCAGATTTAGAGGTACAATCAACATGTTGTAGCCAAAACTAACTTTCAAATCACGGAAAATGATCTGTCCAGATAGTGTTAACTCTTAGTTGATTCAAACATGTGTGATCAAACTAATTCTTAAACACTCTAGCTCAATACTCCATTTGTGGGTTATAATCTTTACATAGGGTAGATGCAGGTTTTCATGGAATGATTATTATTTTTTGAGACACGATTTCACTCCTGTTGCCCAGGCTGGAGTGCAATGGCATGATCTCAGCTCACTGTAACCTCCACCTTCCAGGCTCAAGTGATCTTACCACCTCAGCCTTTTGAGTAGCTGGGACTACAGGCACACGCCACTATGCCCAACTAATTTTTGTATTTTTTGGTAGAGATGGGGTTTCACCATGTTGCCCAGGCTGCTCTCGAACTTCTGAGCTCAGACAATCCACCAGCGTCAGCCTCTCAAAGTGCTGGGATTACAGGCATGAACCACCACGCCTGGCCTACTGGTTTTCATGAAATTATAAAATGACCCAGAAATTTAAAAAAAAAACCTTTTCTCCTGTGGATAGACTTTTGTCATTAATTTTTTACCGTGGATATAATTATTGTTTACATTTAGATTTAGCCCTAGGTTTTAGAAAACATCCTCCTTTTTCCTTTCTGGTCTTCAACGATATGTATTTTCTTTCAAAAAAGAGTGGAAGAAGAAAGAGCAGAGATATTTTAGTTACTGAATATCAGAGTTGGATCCCAGCTCTGCCATATTTAAATTTACATCTTTGCCCAAGCTACCTAATTTCTCTCATTCCTGAGTTATTTAGCTGCAAAATCTGATCATATAAATTTTATGGGGCTATTTTTATATTAATTCATACTATATTACCATCAATGTAAAAGTTTTCTTTAACTATAAAAAGACAAGACAATCTGTGTAGGTGTCTGAAAGCAAATGTGGTTGAGAACCGGTAGCTATTAAGGCAGGCTCACCTGAGGTGGGAATTGGGAATGGCAGGAGGGATGACTGCAGACCTGCTGCTCAGCCTCACCTATCAGAATGTATCATTAGACTAAGGAAACAACCAACTTCCTCCAACTGAACAGGAATAACTCCCAGATTTTTACTCTTCCTCCTTAAATCATTGCAACTCTAAACAAACGGTTAAATTGCCCTAAATGGTTCCAGAAATATTCACTAGCGTTATTAAGTTGCTTCAACTTTAAGTCTATACTTAACTCTATAAACTTTATTAGTATTATTAGGAATGACAACTTAATTTTCCTGTTTTAAATCTCAACATAATACATCTGTGAGCCTAGCAATGATAAATTCTGGGTGATAGTAAACATTCTGACATGATCATATTACAATACCATAATTTCAGGAAAACTGGTTCTCTGTTAGTAGAAGGAATACAATCAAACAAAATTAGTCATTAATAACACTTGAGCCATAAAAACTTCTTGAATTATTTGAGGAATAATAAGTGTTTCCTTTGTTTGAAGAACTGTGTATTTTGGGCTTCTGAAAACTCATACGACACTATCTTTATTAGTATGATATCAGCTCTTTGAGAGGGATGGAAACAGCAGATCTGTGAGTCCTGTGAGAGAGACACAATAGGCCCTGCCTTAATTTTCCCTCAGGTTCAACAGAGAATACAGTAACCAACATTAAAGGTGATGCCACTAATAATCCACTCTACATGCAGCACCACTGGAGATGAGCCTTGGGGCCAGAGGCACTTCTTTGTTTGGCTCAGAGAGGTGACTTCCAGGAATTTGGGTCCTGGGTGACATCTTCAAGCAAATAACACAGATATGACATGACCATTTGGTTACCTCCTGGGTTCTGGAGTCTTAGTAAGACTCCCTGCTACTCATTTCCCTCAATTAGTCATTGTGACAACTGCAGAAATACCTTTCTTATTGAAGATAGCATAACACCAGTACCTTTGTTGCCTCCCCTGGGTTACCTTCATCATAGTTCCTTGTGTTCTTGATTGTCGGGTTCTTGATTGTTCTCCTTTTCTGACTAAATAATTCAATTATATCTCCTCCCAAAAGAGTATTAAATATCTTCAAGAGTATGGTGTGTGTGTGTGTGTGTGTATACACACATATATATACACACATATATATGTATACACACATATATACACACATATATATGTGTGTGTGTGTGTGTGTATATATATAGCAGTAGTTTATGGTTCCAGACAGTCCCTTTTTCCCAGCAGCAGAGGGAGTTCGGAGGATTAGAGAATGATCCACCGACTGCTGGTTTTTCCTTCTTAAACTGAAGAGTGATCCTACTGCTCTAGTAACTGTTTGAATCTGAATTGATAAGGGTAGATAATTATAGGCCATACTTCAAGTCCTACATGCACACATTGCCATATTATTTAATTTAATTAAATAATTAATTTAATTTAATTTAATTATTTAATTTACAGACTACAGTCTGTATATTGTAATATAAACAATAAAATTTAAGCCAGATGTGGTAATGCTTGCCTGTAGTCCCAGCTACTCTGGAGGCTGAGGTGGGAGGATCCTTTTTAAACCCTGGAGTTTGAGGCTGCAGTGAGCAATAATCATGCCACTGGAATATGAAATCAACATCTCTGGAGGGTGAAATAAATTCATGAACTTAGATTTTAGTTACTTGCTTTCCTTAGAGATTTAGGTAAAGAAATTTCCTTGAGAGTTGCAGGGGAAATTTTGGATGACACACGAGAATGCATACATCCTAAGAGCTCTGGCATTCAAAGTTCCTCCACTGCAATGTCTTTCTTTCCCAGTCATCTGGAGTTGTAGTCCTTCCAGAGCACCTTCTTAAGTGCTCCCTTCACATCCTTGTTCCTCAGTGTATATACTAGGGGTTGATCATGGGTGTAACGATGGTGTAGAAGAGAGAGATGAACTTGTCCTGATCCTGAGAGTGGTTGTTGCTGGGCTGGAGGTAAGCATAGATAGCTGTGCCATAGAACAGGGAAACCGCCGTGAGGTGGGAGCCACATGTCCCAAACACTTTTCTCTGCCCTGTTGCAGACTTTATCCTCAAGACTGCCCTGACAATCTGACTATAGGAGAATATGATTAATGCAACAGGTACAAGAAGAATGATGACACTGACAAAGAAGAGTTCAGATTCATTCATAGCAATGTCAACACAGGCAAGCTTGAGCAACGAAGGGACCTCACAAAGAAAGTGGTCTAATTTATTTCTTCCACAAAGTGGTAAAAGGAAGATGAGCACTGTCTGCAATAGGGAGTTGGCAAAAACCAATCATCCATGAAGTAGAAGCCATCAGCGCACACAGACGAGGGTGCATGATTACTGTGTAGTGGAGGGGCCTGCAAACAGCTGCATAGCAGTCAAATGCCATCACGCCTAAGAGAATGCATTCTGTAGATCCCAAGTCTAGAAAGATGTACAGCTGAACTACACAACCACCATAGGAGATTGACTTGTCTGCTCCCCTGAGATTAACCAGGAGCTGTGAAACAATGCTGGTAGTGTAACACAGGTCCAAAAAGCTTAGGTTGGAGAGGAAAAAAATACATAGGAGTGTGAAGATGTGGGTCCAAGTGAGACAATACAATGATGGTTGTGTTCCCCAGCAAAGTGAAGATATAGAAGATCAAAAGAACCACAAAGAGGACTAGCTCCAGCTGAGGCCTGTCAGAGAAACCTAGTAGGATAAATCTAGTGAAAGAACTTCCATTTTTCTGATCCATTCTTTGTTAGCACATGTTTTCTGTCAAAACCAAGCATTTAGCAAATTTTGAAAGGTATCTTGTAAAACAAAAGAAAAGATGAACTCTATCATCTGTACAAGACATGGCCACGGGATTTTATATGCCACTACTTTAATAAGTGAGGTACTCATTGAGACTAACATGTACCAATTTTGTTTACATTATTACAAAAAGCAACATAATTGCTATTTAACACAGCAAAATTAAATAAGGGACCTTGTGTGTGTATCAGTCATAGGCATAAAATGTCTGTTTCAGATTGAATTTAATACAATTTAAAGTATTACAAGAATATATGTGCATTTTAGAGAAAATGGAGATGAGGGAAAAATGGAGAGATCAGAAAGAATGAGAGGCAGAGACAGAGGCGAGAGGTTATATATATATAGTTACATATAACAGTTATGTTATATATAGTTATGTTATATATAACTATGTTATGTTATATATATGTTATATATAACATAATATAGTGAAGATATAGAAGATCAAAAGAACCATAAAGAGGACTACCTCCAGCTGAGGCCTGTCAGAGAAACCCAGTAGGATAAATAATATATATATTATTTATTATATAATAATATATATCTTATATATGACTAATATATGTTATATATATTATATAGTTATATATAACATATATTAATATATTAGTTATACATAACTATATATGCAAAATAATTATAGTTATATATAATTACATTATCTATAGTTATATAGAATAACTCTACACAACTGAAATTATATATGCTTCCCATGCTATAGAATATAATAAAAATATTCTCTAGAATGAATTCGCATATAGACATAGGACCTAGAATGTGCTTATACAAAGGATCAAATTGAATTCAAAATATCACCAGTAGAGCTACATACACACATTGTGGTAGAATTGCCTCACTACCTAATATATTCATAAACGCCTTCCTGATTGTTCTGTATTATAGCAAAACAATGAAATGCTCAATCAGACAGAGTCTGAAATTCATTGAATTTGCTATTCAATTACAGTGCTTATCTCTTGCCCCCAACATGCCAAAATTATCATACCAATTTAACAAGAATTCCAAAAATGTATTGGCTATGCACAGTCACCGGAAATTACTACTGTAATATCCAGTGGGCAGCACTTTCCTTTTACCTCTATGGATTTCATTTTCACATATTACCAACAACCAGAATGAAAGGAATTCCTGAAAGAGGTAGAATCATTCACTATCAACATTCTAATCAGGATGAGCATCTTAAAAAGTTACCCAATTAAATACACAAATACCTAGAGTTAAGGACAGATGAATTGTCAAAACAATGGCAGGTCAAAGACATAAAACTAAAAGTAAGAAAATGAAGTAACTTCAGCAAAGTCTCAGGATATAAAATCAATGTGCAAAAATCACAAGCATTCCTACACACCAAGAACAGACAAACAGAGAGCCAAATCCTGAGTGGACTCCCATTCACAATTGCTTCAAAGAGAATAAAATACCTAGGAATCCAACTTACAAGGGATGTGAAGGACCTCTTTAAGGAGAACTACAAACCACTGCTCAACGAAATAAAAGAGGACGCAAACAAATGGAAGAACATTCCATGCTCATGGATAGGAAGAATCAATATCGTGAAAATGGCCATACTGCCCAAGGTAATTTATAGATGCAATGCCGTTCCCATCAAGCTACCAATGACTTTCTTCACAGAATTGGAAAAAACTATGTTAAAGTTCATATGGAACCAAAAAAGAGCCCGCATTGCCAAGACAATCCTAAGCCAAAAGAACAAAGCTGGAGGCATCACACTACCTGACTTCAAACTATACTACAAGAATGGAAGAAAATATTTGCAATCTACCCATCTGACAAAGGGCTAATATCCAGAATCTACAAAGAACTTAAACAAATTTACAAGAAAAAATCAAACAACCCCATCAAAAAGTGGGCAAAGGATATGAACAGACACTTCTCAAAAGAAAACATTTATGCAGCCAACAGACACATGAAAAAATGCTCACCATCACTGGCCATCAGAGAGATGCAAATCAAAACCACAATGAGATACCATCTCACACCAGTTAGAATGGTGATCATTAAAAAGTCAGGAAACAATAGGTGCTGGAGAGGATATGGAGAAATAGGAACACTTTTATACTGTTGGTGGGACTATAAACTAGTTCAGCCTTTGTGGAAGACAGTGTGGTGATTCCTCAAGGATCTAGAACTACAAATACCATTTGACCCAGCCATCCCATTACTGGGTATATATCCAAAGGATTATAAATCATGCTGCTATAAAGACACATGCACACGTACGTTTACTGTGGCACTATTCACAATAGCAAAGACTTGGAACCATCCCAAAAGCCCATCAGTGATAGACTGGATTAAGAAAATGTGGCACATATACACCATGGAATACTATGCAGCCATGAAAAAGATGAGTTTATGTCCTTTGTAGGGACATAGATGAAGCTGGAAACCATCATTCTCAGGAAACTATCACAAGGACAGAAAACCAAACACCGCATATTCTCACTCATAGGTGGGAATTGAACAATGAGAACACATGGACACAGGAAGGGGAACATCACACACCGGGGCCTGTCATGGGGCTGGGGGAAGGGGGAGAGGGGAGGGATAGCATTAGGAGATATACCTAATGTAAATGATGAGTTAGTGGGTGCAGCACACCAACATGGCACATGTATACATATGTAACAAACCTGCACGTTGTGCACAGGAACCCTAGAACTTAAAGTATAATAATAAAAAAAAAGCAATAAATATTACTTATGTATTTTTATTAAATGCTTAACCTAAGCAAAAAAAAAAAAAAAAAAAAGAATAGTACGTTGGGTTTATAAGAATCTAAAAACATCTGTCTACATTAGGTTAATTTTATATTTGCACCCTTCTGTGAGCTATCTTGAAGAATTTGTTATACTATACCAAACACATTGCCAGCTTCAAGGTCAGTTGATTATCATTTCCATACAGCCCCTTAGTGTATGAGCATGTCCCACACCGACCTAAGCAGCATCAAAGATGAGGAATTCAGTTTCATTACATCAAATGATTAGAAATACAATAAATCCTTAACTCTTCTAAGACTTTCTTTACATGAAACAGATTTGTATGTAGAGCCATTAGTGTGTGAAAGAAATTGATACAAAATAGGCATAAAATAAATGTTAATAAATCTGAATAAGAGAAAAGAAAAGGTCAAATGGAAGAAGAGTTGGTGGTGGGGAGGTCACTGGGAAACAGTTCTCTATCACTGACATAAATGTCTTCCTCATTCCACAATTTATATGCAAAGAAAACAAAAAAAAAAAATCAGGTGTCTTAAAATGTAAAAGTACACATAATAGAAATTTAATATATCATATACAGGAAGCATTAAACTGATCTCACCACACTCTCAATCCCAGAAGAACAATGTGTATGAGTACATATTTGGCAAAATCCAACAATATTTAATTTTTTTAAACTTTCACATTTGAAGTTTGAAAAATGTAAAAATTATCCAAAAGTTGAAGGTTAAACTGATATGCTACTTACAATTAATAATATTATCTGGTATTGCTGAGTGTTTTGTATGTTCTAACTCATTTACATGCATAATTTCAACTAATCTTTCTTATTACCATCTCTTTTTACATATGAGGAAATGGATTGAAGCACTCAAGTAGCTTATCCAACATTACTAGACCCCTAAATGTTTTAAAACAAATCCAGATCCCTTTGATATCAAAGTCCATGCTTTTAATCACCACACTATTTTATCTTCAATCAAAAGTATATTTATTAAAATTCAGAGGAAGCTATCACACATAACATAGAGGAGTAACATTTCACCATATTTCACAATCCCCTTAATTTCTTATTAGGTTGTGATCAGTGATAGCCACAAAAAAAAAACTATGCACAAACTTTTAATAAAAGAATTCATTATAAAAACATTAGAAGCTATATAGATGTCCAATGAAAGGCTACATTGCCCTGATTACACCTGGTGAGGAGAGTGAATAAAAGCAAACAATGCACACATACACAAATATAATCTACCCATCTAAAATGAAGTGCGGCAAGTTTTTCAAAATGTATCTAATAAAAGGTGTTCATCAAAGTGAAGAAGAGCAAAAATAAAATGCTAACTAATCCAAGGAAAAACATCAAGATAATCATCATTATAATAAAATAATAATAAATTTTAATGTTATAATATCAATACACAACAGGAAGGCATATGATAAAAGATCACAACCTGGGTGAGATGATGTCATACAAACCATTTGCTGTTTTACAGGACAATATACATTAATAAAAGAACGCTGAATGCTACTGATCTGACAAGTGTAAAAATTGGTATGATTTTGACACTTGTAAAATTATACCAGGCAAAGAAGACACTCACTAGAACAGAACAGAAAATGTGATTCTTTCTGTATGTTACAATTGTTCCCAATGCCACTCCAGAGACTATACTAGTGGGTAATAGGATACTAATGTCATATTCGATCTTCCAAATTTTAAAAAGTTTCCTCCTTACAAATAGGAAAATTATTTTCCTTATTAGCACTGGATATGGGAAAGATGTAGCTGCAAGCAGGATTCTTTCATTGATTCCCAAGTGTATTCTGCTGATTTACGTCAAAATGTTTCCTCCACGCTTTCCTACTTGGCATCCAGCCCTCCAAAAGCAGTTTGCACCATAACAAAAGGCAATCCTCCAAGAAAAGAAATATTATTTTAGCTAAGGTTAAATGAGACTTTTTTTTAAATTTAATTTTATTTTAATACGGGTTCTCACTCTGTTGCCCAGGCTGAGTGCAGTGGTGCGATCATAGCTTACCACAGCCTCAACCTCCTAGGCTCAAGTGATCCCCCCACCTCAGCCTGTCTAGTAGTAGGGACCACAGGTGTGCACCACCACACCTGGCTAATTTTTGTATTTTTTTGTAGAGACACGGTTTCACCATGTTGCCCAAGCTGGTCTCGAACTCCTAGGCTCAAAGTCCTCAGCCTCCCAAAGTGCTGGAATTACAGGTGTAAGCCACCAAGCCCAGCCTCATTTTATTTTATTTCTACTACATTGAAGGAATTGTGGAATTGACTAGAAATCATCATCTAAGTTTAGATAAGGGTCAATTGACTTAATGCAGTAAGAATAATAGACTCAGATTAGACAAATCATATGAATAATACAACTGGAAATTACAGACACATTCATCCTAGGTACAGAAACAAAGAATGGTGTTTTTAGTAACCATCACCTTATGACATGATAGGGAAGTCCTGTGATTAAAAAAAAAAATTACACACAAATGATTATGTGAGATACAAAAAAATAAAACAATTGAAAATGCCACA